GAGTTTCTAAGTGGACACTCTTTCTACACCACCGCGGTGTGAGTGCTCTGTGTTTATAGGGCGCATTCAAGTCCATTACAATCCATTAGGATCCCCTCAAAAAAATTCCAGGGTGGCCTGAGTTGCTCCTTAAACCAATGAAATCAGAGTCCTGGGAGTGGGGCCTGGGCCTTGGGATCCTTTAAAGCTCCATTTGGAAAGCCTTGTGCACAGCCAAGTTGGGTCCATCTCCCAGTCCCCCAGCCTTGGCCCAGCGTGGCCAAGCTGCCCAGGAGGTCCCTTGGTGCCCTGGGCTCTGATAAGTGTCATTGTTTTGTAGAGTAACTTCCCAGCAGAGCTGCCACTGGGCCCCATCCTGGAAGCTGAAGTCCCCAGGGCCCTCCTGAGAGGAAATGTGAACTGAAAGATGGGGAGGCAGGCGGCTCTGACAGACAGAAAGCAAACAGCTGAGAGGGGTGGCAGGCTGCATTTTATTCATCGTTAATTTAAACACCCTTCAAGTCCTCTCTTGGAGCGCTGCTCAGAAAAATAGATGTATTGTTTGAGAAACCTGCAGCTTGTCCTGCATGCTCTAACCCCCTCCTGAGAGAACAGGTAGCATAGAAAATGATTTGTAAAGCAAGGGGGAGCTTCCTTAGGGAAGAAGGGGAAGGGGAAGAGGGTCTCAGGACAGGTCCAAATGCAGAAATCCTCAATGCATGAGACTAGCGTGGAGGGTATAGCAATTGCGCTCTGGGGTGCCTGAAGGTGCCAGAGTTGCTCCAGGGGCAAGAGTCCAGGCCCCAAGTCCATGTTGATGAGCCCACCCTGGGGGTCAGGAACGGCCTCAGCAGGCCCTCCCTCCCTCCCTCTCCACTCTACAAAGTGAGGAGCCTTCAGAGTCACCACGAGCACATTATACAACAATACAACAACCCTGCAACAGATAAACAAAGCCCCAGCACCTCTTCTGGACTCAGAAGTGCCCTAGGCTGGCTGTCTGGCTGTGCATTCCAGACAGTGTGCATGTGGAATTGTGCTTTTTGTTTTTTAAGAATGTAAAAAGTTACAGTAAGATCGAACCATGGGGCCCGCCACTCCCTATGGTCTCTGCCTGGCTGGGTTGCCATCTGCCTCAGTTCCCCAGAAGCTTCTCCTTTGGTTCACCCCAGAGCCCACAGGAAGAGAGGGTCTGCTGGGAGGCTTGTCTGAAGGATGGAGGATCCTGGGTCATTTAGCAGCTATTTTCCAGGGTTTGGCTTGGGTTTGGATGCTGGCTTCTGTGTGAAACACGAATACATGCAAATTGTACATAAAACTCCACCAGAACAGAGAGGGATTTTCCAGGCCCTGGTACATCTCTAGGGAGTTAAAAATGGAAGATCTTTCTTCTTAAAGTGGCCCAGACTGAGACTTTTCCTTTGGGAAAAGGGCTAGTAGCTCTTTGTAAGGCTGGTGTGTGTGTGTGTGTGTGTATGTGTGTGTATATATACATATGCATGATGCTGTGCAAATGCCCAGGGCTGTCTGGCATTTTCCATAAAGTGAGAGCTTGAGATTGCCTAAGCCTTCTGATTTCTGATGCCTTCTCCAGGCCTGGAGGCACTGCTTCGTTCAGAGGACACAAAGGCCTGACTACCTGGCTTTAGCAAGCTAGGACACCCAGGGTGGCATCTTTACCTTTCTAGTCATCTCTGAGGAGGCTGCTTGCCAAGACTCTGACTTCTACTGGCCATAGCTAGATGGTGAGGGCTTCTTAGAGCTCATTCCACCTTTAAGGGGGCCCCACAGCGCCAGCATGAGATGGGTAAGTCCAGGCCTAAGGTTAGGAGCAATTCCTGGAGCCTGAGGAAGTTGTAGGCAACAGTGAGCTACCAGTGGTGGGGCAAACTGGAGACCCCCAAGACAGTGAGAGAGGCCACAGCATCTGAGGGAATGGAGCTCTTTCTTGGCCTGAGGTTCAGAAGAAACTGCACCAAGGAAAGGCATCCCTATCAATGTCACTGTTCCTGAAATGATGGGAGAACCCCAACCCTGCTTCTCACTGCTCTCCCTCCAGCAGGACCCCTTTAGGCATGGGTCTCATCCTCTACCAAGTCCCCTGACCTAGGGAGCCCCAGCTTTTCAGGGAAGCAGCCCCCGGCATCTGGGGCACTGAGCTCTGCGGCCTGAGGTGAAGGATGATGGTGTGATGTATCATGGCAGTGTGACTGAGACTGAGTTGGGGGATGGGGACAGGGGAACACAGGCAAAAATACACATGTGCCACATGGATCCTGAGCCGCCATTGTACCTTGGAGGACTGGTGTTTCTCTGGGAAGTTGGGGGTGGGAAGTGAAAGGGTCTTACTTTCCTGTCCCTTGAAATCATGCTCACGATTCTTTTAGAAGATTGCTCAAGCTGCCTCCAATTAATTGCCTCTTTCCAAAACCAACGCATAGGAAAAGAAGTAAAAACAGCTGAGGCTGCAGCATAAGCAACTTAGGATAGACTCTAGGAAGCACTGCCAACAGAGAAGGCTGCCAAGAAACGTTTTGAGTTTTTCTTCTCTGGAGGTGGGTCCTGGTTCCTCCCCTGGAGACCAGGATTCTGTGTAGTCCTGCACGCTGGTTGGCGGATTGCCTGGACGTCTCTTTAGGCCTGTCTAGCTCACAAAGTCTTGCTGGCTGGGTTTTAGGCTGCCGTACTGTTGCCGGGGCTCACTTCCTGTGGGTAGGTTGTTATTTTGCCCGCAGATCAAGTCCTCACTATCTAGAAGCCTCAATCATGGGGATCTCTTTTTTCCTCTCTGGATAGCTCTGATCCCCAAGTTATTTATTTCCTGTTGCCTAGGTAATACCTCTAATTGGATGCCTTTTAATCATTCCCTTTTTTAAAGGGATAAATGTGGATTTTATTTCCAGGTCTTGTCAGAGGGCCCTGCCCTAGAGAACACATGCCCCTGTGAGTGTGCAGTCCCGTCATTGTGACTGAAACCATGGCTTGGAAGGCGGGGATGCTCACTGGGCCGGCCTGACAGTCACAGTGAATCCTGAAAGCATGGCTTTCACAGGAGCCCACCCTTCAGGATTTAGCAAGACTGACCTCTCTCCTCGCCAGCATTGCTTCACTGGCTTCACCCCAGATTAGGGCCTGTGTTTAAAAACCAATTCTAACTCAAATCAGAAATTAGCTGGAGAGTCACTGAGATGCAAGGTAAGCTTTCCCTCAGAAAGGGGAAAGAAGAGTCTGACATTCCAGCACTTTGGGAGGCCGAGGCGGGTGGATCACGAGGTCAAGAGATCAAGACCATCCTGGTCAACATGGTGAAACCCCGTCTCTACTAAAACTACAAAAAATTAGCTGGGCATGGTGGCGCGTGCCTGTAGTCCCAGCTACTCAGGAGGCTGAGGCAGGAGAATTGCCTGAACCCAGGAGGCGGAGGTTGCGGTGAGCCGAGATCGCGCCATTGCACTCCAGCCTGGGTAACAAGAGCGAAACTCCATCTCAAAAAAAAAAAAAAAAAAAAGAAGAGTCTGACATTCAAGTTTGACTCTAATGCTGTGTGCATGAGCGTGTGCATGCATGGTTTTGTGTGTGTTTTCCAGGCACAGTTGCCTGGGAGAGAGATTTCACAGCATGGCTCGGGCTGGAGGTGGCGAGGCGGTGCTTTTCTAAGACTTCCTATCAGAAGCTGTGCATACTGGTGGGTCACACCGTGCCTGTATAAACTCTGGAACCTGTCCTTGGCCTCATCATAGATGAGAAAAATGGGCAGAGAGAGTGTTTGTTTACAGCTCCAGACCCTCATCCTTTCAATGAATCCTGGGTATCTGGCCTTCCTCCAGGTCAGGGACCCCTGTGCTGCGGAAGGCAAGTCTGGGAGAATCTGTCCCTCAGCCTGAGAGCAAAACTTTAATCCTAACATTACTTTCATCCACCAGTTTCACCAGCTCCCTCCCTCCTGCCTTCCTCTACCTCCAATAGGCTGTGCATGGAGAAGACAAATCCACTTGATAAACAATATTTGGAGAGGGATTCTGTCCTTCCTGACCCCAAACACATTATGGCCTCTGGAGCCAAATACCCTGACATTTACAAGATGGCTTCTTTTGGGTTCCTGGTGCTGCAGGTCCTGGTTCCCAAGGACGCGGCTGGCAGAGCTGCCTCCTTCAGAGGAGGAGGAGAGGCTGGAGGGCTGTGCCCCGCAATCCCATGATCTCTTAAAGGAGGAAAAATTGAACTGATCCACAGTAGTTAAGAAAAAACAATCCACACCAACAAAGAAAAATTGTGTATGAGAAGACTCAGATATTCCTGGTTAATAATGAAAAGCACTGCTGTGGATGAGCTGTGACAGAAAGGACGGTTGGGGGATTCAAGATGTGCTGATTCCAGACTGGAGATCGGCCAGCTAAAGCCCAGCAGGGCTCCTGCAGCCTCAGCGCTCCCCTCCCCACAGGTGCCCTGGACTGCCCAGCATTAGAAGTAGCTGCCCTGTGCTCTGTCCTAAATGGACTAACTCTGGGCTGAGAAAGGCCAGCTAAGCCCCCCACCACCGCAATTTCCAAATCTGGGGGAAATGCCACAGTCCGCAAGTTGGTGCTATGTTTCATCTCATTGCATAATACTACACCATTCTCTGTGTGTAGTGGCTGTTCTATATATATACATCGGGAGGCAACATATGGCTTTCCCTACCCCCACCTGTCAAAACTGTGACTATATCACTTCTGACGACCAGAAGGAAGCTGCTAGGCTGGGCCAGGATTCTAAATGCTGAGGAGGTAATTCAGAGCCACGAAAAGTTGCACCATATGCTTTGGGGTTGCCGGCTGCTTCTGTGCATGGGGATAGGGTTTAGTGCCAGTCTGCAAAACTCTCCTCGCTGCGGTATGCCCTGGGTGGGGGTCTGGGGAGCCACCTTTTCTCTCCCTGAAGGAGAATATGCTGGGGGCCACGGTTCTCCAAGAGGGGACTCATAAGGAACACAGGCGTCCCCAAAACCTGCCCTTGATAACATCAGGCCTGGCCAAATAGTATTTCTTTAAAAAATTTTTTTTGTTTCATTTTATTGGATAAAGATTAAGAAAGCGCCAGCAGTGAGTGACTGAGAGAAGGGAAGCAAACCATGCCCGGCGGCCCCAGGGCCTGGAGAGGGTCCCGGCGCGGGCGGACGGGCGGTCTACCTGGAGGCGCTGGTCTCGGCCAGCCGGTTGTTCATGATGCCCAGCGCGCCCACGCCGCCCGAGAAGCCGTTCTGGCGCGTGTTGACGCACACGCTGCGCGGGTAGCCGTTGGCAGTCTCCGACAGCTGCTTCTGCAGCAGCGCCAGCGACACCTTGTTGGAGGCCGTGAGGTCGCGCATGGAGATGAGCTCGCCCGAGAGGCGGCGGCCTTCGGCGTCGCTGTCGCGGGCCGCGGGGTCGGCGCCGAGCGCGGCCAGGCGGCGGCGCAGCCGGGAGCCCGGGGTGATGGCGTTGCGCCGGGACAGGGGCGCGCCGGGCGCCGGGCAGCAGCGCGCGCAGCAGCGGCAGCTCAGCTTGCGCAGCATCCAGTTGAGCACCTGCTTGATGAGGATGGAGATGACGTTGAAGAGCGAGTAGATGCAGCACACGCCGAGCAGGATGAAGAGGAAGTTGCCCAGGCGGTAGAGCCCCTGGTTCCGGTAGGCGGCGTGCTGGCTGCTCACCAGGTCCCCGAAGCCGATGGTGCTGAAGGTGACGAAGCAGAAGTAGAGCGAGTCCACGTAATCCCAGCCTTCCACGCTGGTGTACATGGCCGAGGCGCAGCACGACAGCAGCACGGCGAACAGGCCTAGGATGAGCAGCACGTGGTACACCGAGGGCTTCCAGCCCGCCAGGCTGTCGGCCTCCGAGAGCGCGGAGCCCCGGCGGAAGGTGGCTGGCAGCAGGCCGCTGCGGCGCAGCTGGCGCTCCCGGCAGGCGCGCATGATGAAGGCCAGCAGCGAGATGATGCGCTCCAGGAAGAGGTTGAAGAACAGGATGGTCCCGGCGCAGCCGAACAGTCCGTAGGCAATGAGGAAGGCCTTCCCGCCCACCGTCGCGGGGGTGGTCATGCCGAAACCTGTGGAGACAGGGCAGGGTCAGCGCGGTCCTGGCCGCGCAGGTGGTCCTCACGGGGCGTTGGAGGGGGGGTGCGGAGCACGCAGGTGCTCGCGTGGCTCCTATTTTGAGTGGCACCACTCAGGTGGAGGGAAAACATCACTTAGTCATTTCTCTCCCTTGGTGGCACCTGATAGGGTTCATGATCTTGGCAGCCCCTATACTGATGGGGGAGACAGGGCCCTTCATCTTGGGGACCTATAAATCCAAGTGGGTGGGGCAGGTAGTCACTAGGAAGGACCCATCATGACATACAAAATAGAAACCACTGCTGCACAGGTGCAAACCACTGAGATACCCACAAAGCAAACAAGTGACACCTGCTCTCCCACTCCCCCAAATTGTTTTTTGAAAGCTGTCATCTTTATTTTAGTTCATAAATACATTAATATGCTAGTTTAGGTGAATTTTGCTGGGTGAATTACAAATATTTACATTAGCAAAAAAACCAACATAGATCTCTTCGAAGACACCTAGCTTCTTATGTGCTTGTACATTTTTTATACCAGTCTTGTTACTTGGAAACTCCACTGCCTACTTGAGACTGGGGAAAAAAGCCAAGTAATCTTAGTGCTGTGACTAATTTTCACTGCACAGGCACTTTGAAAAGGTCTTTGGTCAAAGGATCATATTTTCTTTTGTGTGTGTGTGGTGGGGGGGCAGGTTCTTTGTCACACAGGCTGGAGTGCTGTGGTGCAATCATAGCTCACTGCAGCCTTGAACTCCTGGGCTCAAGTGATTCTCCTGCCTCAGCCTCCCAAGTGATAGGACTACAGGTGTTTGCCACCAGGTCCAGCAAATTCTTTGTTATTTTTTCTAGAGGCAGAGAAAGGACCATATTTTCTTAGTCTACCAACATTTCATGCCTTCTGGAATTGGGCATGAGGCCAAGTGGGTAGTCCTGTCACTTCCTAGTTCTTACAATGTGAATATGGGGTGACACGAGAATGTGCATTTCAAACCAATTCCCAGATGATTCTAAAGTCTTTCATACTAGAATAGCAGGCTTTTCTGTTGAAAGGGCAGGTTTAAAGAGTTGTCATATGTGCTCATTTTTTTCCAAGTATGTCAAAGATTTTCAACCCCTCCCTGTTATAAAAAAAAATCAGTTTACCAACTCTGCCTACTAATGGACCCCAAAATTAAGTGTCAATGCTCAAAAGTCAACTGTAGCTCCTCTTCTTTCCTCAAATAAGTTATTTGGAATTGTGAATGAATCCAAACTGAAAAACTCGACTATAAGTCTTTCTCGAAACGCTTGGTTTTTTAATGTAACCTGGAGCACACCTGGGCAGACAGCCTTGTTAGGGAAGATTCCGTAGGGCTTTGCCTAAATTGGGATTTCTCACTCTGGGATCAGGTAGAGTGTAATCAGGTGGCTAGAGTTAATGGTCTCTGAAAAGAGCTTTGTGAAGCTGACGAAAGGATTGTTGGAGAGTAGTTCACCCACACCCTTCAGGGAGTAAGCATGGCTCTGCCACTGGGTGCCAGCTCCTCAACCAAGGATCACCATCAATCATCCTTGCTCACACTTATGGCCAAGGAAAGGCTCTGGCCCAGCTGGGTCCCGTGCTGGTGGTATGTCTCAAATTTCTTTGTTCTGAGAGGTCTACACAACTGCATATTGTTTCAGGCTCTTATCATTCTTAACTTACCATATGTTCAATGCACAGGCTTTAAGGATGTCCTTATCAATTGATTTCTGCAGGTGTGGCTGCCTGCCAGTGTGCTCGCTCATGCCATCCAGGGCAGTGCAGAGTGGCAGCTCTGCCTCTCCAGCCTGGGCTCTCTGCCGACTGCTAGCTGTGGTCTCTCTGTGGGACTCATGGTTGCCTGACTGATTATGGGAGGGGGTTTCATCTCTTGGTGGGAAGATTCACTTACTGCTTGGAGTCTGAGCTGAAAAAATGGATCATTTGTCTGAGCAGCACCATGGTACCATTCAACACCTCTGGCAGTGGTTAGGGGCATCCCTGTTTAATTTGTGCCCTATAGCAGAAGGGCTACCTGTGCCCTGCCAGTGGGGTGGGACTAGCCTTGGGAAAGTAGAGAAGAATTGTCCCATGTGGCTTATGATTTCCCTAAACAGACTATAGAAAATATTTCTTGTATTACTTTCAGAGTATGTTCCTTAAGCCTATGTGCTAACAATCATTTTCTAGACTGTCTGAAGGAAATGCCCAATTGCCTGAGCGTGGTGTTCATCTTATGCTTAATGTCTCGGGTTAGGGGAAAATCTTATGATGTTACCCATGTTGAGGAAGAAGATGGATTATGTCCCTACATTCACAGAAAGTGAAAAAAACCAAAGTAGCTATGTAACCAAGAACCTGATGGAGGGATTGTGCTACATTGTAAAGCCACACTCAAGTTCTTGAATTTATAAATAAATCAATTCTGAAGTTACATGGCTATAGGTGGAGTGGGAGTATGTGTGTGTGTTTATAAAATGTTTTAGACCAATAACCTAAATGTCTAACAACACAACTATATGATTGCCTATTCATAAAAAGAATACTATACAGCAATGAAAAAGCATGAACCATCGCTACTTGCAACAACACAGATAAATCTCACAAAAAGAACGTTGAGCAAAATAAACTGGACACAAAAGAATACATTCTGCATTATTCCATTAGTATAAAATTGGAAATCAGACCAAACTACAATATTTTTTAGGGATGCCTGCATGGTTGGTAAAATTATAAGGGAAAGCAAGGAAGTAATTTTGATAAGTCAGACCTGGGATTTCCTCTGGAGGATGGCAGGGGGTAGGAGCTGAGAGGGGACAGAGGGGACCTCTGGGGTACTAGAAATGATTTTGTGGCCTGGGTGTTATTTACATGTGTGTTAGCTGTATAATAATTTGTAAAATTGTATGTTTTATGAGTTTTTTGTACTCATAATCAGAAAAAAATTTTAATTTCTAGACTGTTAGAACTCTCAGATACCCTAATTCTGACATGCCCCTCACTGTACAGGTGAGGGAGTGGGGGCTTAGGGGCTGTAACCTGCATCTTATTGGGGACAGACTGCCACCTTTTGTCCTGGGTTCAAACCTGGTGCATAGACCAGTATGCACAATACTGTGTCTACTCACTGAGGGAAAACAAAATCTCCTATAGAGGGATAACTCTGTTAAATTTCTAAGGTAATTGAAAATCCTGGGCCTGAAGAAACAGTACTTTGTCTAAGAAAATGTTGAATTGTATTTTTCAGCTACTGTCTCAAAGCTGAGAACAATATGTGTACAGTTCTCCCCATTCTAACAGAAGTTCCAGACACATCAATGCTGGACTTACTAAAACAGCAAAACAGGTCTGGGGCTAGCAACCCCCCACACCCCCACCTCCAGGCTGTATGGAAAGGCTGGGGATTGAAGGGCTCTTCCATTAGTCAGGAAGTTGTTCTGGGGAGTTGTGGCGGTGGGGAGTGGTGTGGCTTCTTTCACTCACCCCTAGGCCAGGGGATGGTTGGAGCAGGGAAGGTCAAGAGGACTTATGGGGCTGCAGCAAAAGGAGAGCCCGGCAGCTCACTTCCCAGCGGCTGGGCACAGCCGCTCACAGCCCTGCCCAGAGTGGAGCATGGTGAGAGTTCTGGGAGAATCTGACAGTTCCCCTGGAGTCCAGAGCTGTGCTGGAGAGTTCTCTGGGTGGGAAGCTGACTGGGGCAGGCCCCACAGGCAGGTGAGGAAGAGGGCAGGGGGGGAAGAGGGCACTCATGGGAGCCATCTGCACTTCGAGGGCTTGCTGCATCAGGATGTGTGAGGGTGACATGGGTCACCAGTGGGTGACAAGTGGATATTGAAAGGAAGAGATCTGAAGAGACTGCCCAAGAGGGCTGCCTGCTGGTGCAAGGTGGCCCCAGCAAGAAGAGGCTGAGGGTCAGGGGGCTGGGGACAGCGTGAGAGGGAGTCACAGGAGGAAGGATGGAGAGGGCAGTGCCCACTCAGAGAGTGGGGCAGGGAGTGGTCCCTGTACAGGGCTCCCAAGGACCCATAAATAGTTGCTATGAAAGCACATATGCCTGTTCTAACAGGGAGCCTTGCAGCCCTACTAGCAAAAGTTAAGAAGGAATGATAGTGGCTCCAGTGATGTAAGATCACCCCCATGCCCCATCCACTGTGGGTCCTGTGAGCCATGTATCAGCCCCGAGCTGGAGGGAGAGGCTAAGCTCTGATTAGAAGTGAATTTGAAGATTTGATTAAACATCTGAGAATGAGTCTTAATCTTAAACTGGTACTTAAAAAAAAAAAAAAAAAAAAAAAACTGGGCACAGTGGCTTATCCCTGTAATCCCAACGCTTTGGGAGGCCGAGGCAGGCAGATCACCTGAGGTCGGGAGTTTGAGACCAATCTGACCAACATGGAAAAACCCAGTCTCTTCTAAAAATGCAAAAGATTAGCCGGGTGTGGTGGCACACGCCTGTAATCCCAGCTGCTCAGGAGGCTGAGGCAGGAGAATTGCTTGAACCCAGGAGGCAGAGGTTGCAGTGAGCAGAGATTGCGCCATTGCACTCCAGCCTGGGCAACAAGAGTGAAACTTTGTTTCAAGAAGAAAAAAGAAAAATTGGCTGAGCACTCTGGCTCATGCCTGTAATCCCAGCACTTTGGGAGGCCAAGGTGAGTGAATGACTTGAGACCAGCCTGGGCAACATGGCGAAACCCCGTCTCTACTAAAAATGCAAAAATTAGCCAGGTATGGTGGTGTGCACTTGTAATCCCACCTACTTGGGAGGCTGAGGCACAAGAATTGCTTGAACCTGGGAGGCAGAGGTTGCAATGAGCTGAGATCATGTCCCTAGCATCCAGCCTGGACCACAGAGTGAAACTCTCTCTCAAAAAACAAACAAAAAAACCCCACAAAAAAACCAAACTATTTGGAAAACTCTAGCATCTACCTAAGATTTTAAGGAATCTAAAAGGGAGTTGTTTATTTTTTTTCTGAGATGGAGTTTCATTCT